TTTTTGTAGCGACAGGGTCTTACTATGTTGTCCACCTGTTTTCGAACGCCTGGGCTCAAGCAGTCCACCCACTTTGGGCTCCCAAAGTGAAGGGATTACAGGTGTAAGCCACCACATCCAACCTTTTTTATTTTATTTCATTTTACGTATGTATTTATGTATTTATTGATTTTTGATACAAAGTCATTCTGTTGCCCAGTCTGGAGTGCAGTGGTACAGTATCAGTTCACCACAACCTCCACCTTCCCTGTTGAAGTGATTCTCCAGCCTCAGCTTCCCAAGTAGCTGGGAATACAGGGGCCCACCACCACACCTGTCTAATTTTTGTACTTTCAGTAGAGCTGGTGTTGGCCAGGCTGGTCTTGAACTCCTGACCTCAGGTGATCCACCTGCCTTGCCTTCCCAGAGTGCTGAAATTACGGGCCTGAGCCACTGTGCCCGGCCTTATTTTTTTATTAATGTATTGTATGTTGAGGCATGGACTTTGCTTTTTTAGATCACCAATGTCCAGAGAAGTGTTTGAGTCATAATCAGTCTACAATTAATGGTTGTTGAATGAATAGATGTGAGTATAGGACTTTTAGTATTACTGCAGAGTCTAAGTATTAAGTATTAATAAACTAAAAATAATAAATCATTAAAGGCTCGTTGAAACAAAATAAGGGGATGATATGGAACTTCTTGTATCTGCCTTGATACTTGATCTGTTAATAGAAGTAGAGGGTCTGCTAGTCTTGAAGAGAGTCCTGCTCTCTTATCTGTGTAGCTTAACATACATCCAGAGGAAAATTCAGCTCTACCAGGACGCTGAAATTCTAGAAGAGTCCAGGAGAGAACCCTCAAGGTTGGGAAGTGCTTCAGACCATATTCTCAGAGGAACAATAGACACAATCTGTTTTTGTTCAGCCTAGAAGAGATTCACAGCATTAGGGACTCTGTTGATGTACTCCTTTATAATATACCATGAGCTCAAATATCCAAACCCCAGTAAACTTACATAAATGTACAAAGAGTCATTAGTCATGAGAGAAATATCAGTGAAACCCCCAGTATACTTTGCACCCCTCCAAATGCCTAAAAGAGAAAGATAACTTTATGTCTTTCAACGTATGTGTCGTCTTAGATAACACCAAGAGTTGGCAGGGTTGAGGAGCAACTAGAATTCTCAATTTACAGCAAAGTAGAAATTAGTACAACCATTTTGGGAAACTATTGGACAGGATCTACTAAAACTAAACATAGCATAGCTTATGATTCAACCATCCGAGTTCTAGATATATACCCAACATAAATGTATACATACGTGTGCACATGGCAGTACTATTCAAAGTAGCCCAAACTGGAACAACACAAAGTGGGGTATATTCCTTCAGTGGAGTACCAACAAAAATAGGAATGAGAAAAACAGCTGTCATATGAAAAAAAAAAAAAAAAAAAACAGCTCTTATAAAAAAAAAAAAAAAAAAAAGCATACATCTTATAAACAATGGCAAACACAAGAATAGTATACTGAAGCATCCATTCTGTCTGAGCTTATTTACAGAAAGTTAAGTTTTTAACAACCTCTGTTGGAAGTCAGGGGCCTGATGATTGGGAGAGGAGCGTTTGTGGCATTGGTAACATTCTGCTTCTTGCCCTGGGTACTGGTTATACAGGCATGCTCATTCACTTGTACACTGAAGTGATCTTTCTGTAAGTGTGTATTAATAAAATGTTGACTTCATCATAAGGTGCTTGATGGCTTCCCTACCATCTAGAATACAGAGATCACATCAACTTTCTCTGGTTTCTCTCCCAAAACCCTTACCAGGTCCTCTCCTATACCAGATACTCAGTAAGTGTGGGAGACAGTGCTCTTAGGAGGAACAAGACAGTTGAATATACTAAGGAATGTTCCAGCTATCTTATAAACAGCACTGGATGGAAAAATAACAATCTGACCTTAATAAAGCACACTCACATTCTCACTTGATTTGTGATTTTCAACATCAAATTGCAAAACTCTGCAAATGTCCTTGATGATGTTTCATTGCGTATTAGTTCATGCATGGATTTATGATAATCCCCCTGCTTCTCCAGGAGAGATGTCACCCAGCACAGCCCTCCCCCAGAGCCTACCCCCTGCTCTGTGCCATTTATCGTAACTAATTGGCCTAGACTGCATGAGATCACATTTAACAAAATATCAGATGGCTCCTTTGGTTGATACGTGCTTCAGAAGGCTCCCTAAAGTGTCTAAGGTTTTCATTAGTTTTTAGAGCACACTGAGTTAATTATATTGCTCACTAGCTTTTCAGGTTGAATAGTCAACCAGAAAAAGGAGTAAGCGTGGAGAGGCTGGAAAGGGAGTAAAACCATTTCTTGTTTTGGCAGACATCAAGCTTTGTCCTCAGAACTTGAGAGTTTTTAAGTGCTGCCTTTCTCTCAGCAAAAAGTTGATGACCTAGGAGTGACTTACTAAATCCAGGTGGCTCATAGAAGAAATAAAACAGTACCTCACCCCTTGCTGGAATGCTCAATTTGTGGTAAAACTTGAGGGCCCGTTATGATATGTTGACAGCATTCCCCTTGAAAGGTCAGGACAAAATGAAAGCTAGAGAAGACAACCTTGTTTAGATTCTGCAGTTGCTCTGTGGTCCACAGGGCTTTGCCATGAGGGAGCATGGGATACAGTGGGATACAATAAAGAAAAAGGTTGCTGAAGATTGTAGGAATGCTCATTCCCTGCATTACAGTACTAGAGAGAAAATCAAGAGGGCTATTTATTGTCTTTTGTTGGGGGCAGTGCTAGGACCAGTCAATGAGTGAGTTAGCTTTTACAGCTCTTTCTGGATCTGAATTCTTTTTCCCAACAGGAATGTGGCAGCCACACTACATCACAAAACGCTTAAGTGTTTTTGAGGTCTTGCCAGATTGCTCCTCACCATGGCAATGATCTCTATGGGGAGAATCTGTAGGATGCATACTGAGTCTTTTAGCTCTGAGCAGAGAACCTAGTTTCTGAATGGAAGGCCGGTTGTCATGGAACATTCCCTGACTGCTAGAAATTAGCTGGGTGGCTCTGTCTTCTTCACAAACCTGCAACTATCTTGGCTTTCTAATTACAGGACTTTGCAAACCAAGGATCTATTCTAAAGAATATTAATTATATCAAATTGATTGCATATACTAAGGATAGTTACTAAAGTATTAACTTTTCAGTCATACATATGTGGTATATATTTTAAGTGTGGAGTATAAATATACATGCAGCTATGGGTATCCATTACACATCTAGGTATGAGTGTGGATTATAGATATGGCTGTGAGTGTGAATTATATACAAATATGGAATATTCACATAAAGGAAACATAAAAGGGAAGAAAGGGCCATATTAAGGCATTTTTAGTTTTTTGAAGCAGGTCTGCCCCTCCTTGTTAGTCTGGAAGATCCTGAAAATCTAAGTAATTTGAGGAAAAAAAAGTGATTTTACATATATGTAATAATGAAAGTGACTTGGAGTGTGAGATCCTTAAAGGCATAGATAAAATAGTCTTTATCTCTGTATTCCCAGCACCTTCAAACAATGGATGTGATTGATGAATGCCTAAATGAGAGAATAAATAGCATATACCTTCAACCACTCTAAGCAAAGAAAATAAAGTAAAACTCTAAATGTTTTCCAACATAGATAGAGGATGCATTCCCAGCTTTCTACTCTGAGAGAAAAAATGCTGCAAATCATATCTCCCTTGTCCTAGAGTTTTCCAAAGTGATGTCCATGTGTCCCTACAGACTTATGCTGGGTAGGAGGCCACCTCCCTCTGCACAGCCAGGAGGTGATTTCAGTTGTGCTGTGGTAGAATAAGACGTTCTTGCTAGAAGCAAGAATGTTTGCAGCTGACAACCCTGTCAGCAACTGCAGCTTATTAAGATCACCACCACCACAACAAAAAAACAAATATTGGAGATGAATATAAGACAGATGATTTTGTTTATCTCAAGTGAAAAAGACAAGCAATGAGACCCCTGGGAGTGCTGAAATGAGAAAATTCTGAAGTTAATTGAGATATGATTAAAAAGATTGCTGTGTGTTATTGCCGGCAGTCATTGAGTTTTGTCATTAGGTTCCAAGTGTTGGAGCAATCAAACCAGCTATGGCTTTAGCAAGTAGCAGGGAATCTTTTAGTATACATATTTCCCAGAAAACTATAACTTATTAAGGGCATAAGTGGGGTTTCTGAAACAAATTCAACAAATGTATTTTAAGAAATTGTCTCTTTGGTATCATTTATCATAGACTCAGATGTGTCACTGGATTTTGTCTTTTTACATGGCAGTGCTGTCCAATATAAATACAATGCAAGTCATATGTGTGATTTTTAAATTTTCTTGCAGCTACATTAAAAAAAGTAAAAAGAAAGAGGAGAAACTGCTCATCATAATATTTTCCATTAATCCAATATATACATAATACATATCTTCAATATGAAAATTATTAATGAGATATTTTACATTATTTTTTTCTGTATTAGTCTTTGAAATCCAGTGTGTAGTTTATATATACAAGACGTCTCAATTTCGGCTAGCCATATCATGGCTAATGGCTACCATATTGCACAGGGCAGACCAGAGCTTCTCCTCTACTTGGTTTTTGTCAGAGATAAATTATATAGGTTATATTACTTCCAGTATGCTACTTGAAAATGTCAGGACTATACCTTTTTAGTGATTTTATATTTGCTAATGGAGGAAAATTATCTTTCTACACTCATCTTACTGTGACTCAAAAACTGTTAAAATATTAAAGAATTATCTGATAATAAAGAATACATCCAGGTTTTGTAGAAAATCCTTAATAGGTAATACTATATATTTTAATTATACGTTTACCATTCCCCAAGTTATTATTCAGGCTAAATTTCAGTATAAAAATTATCTGGCTTTTATATATGGTTCATGACAATGTGTTATATGTTGTAAAATCCTCACTAAAGAAAAATGGAATTACTATTCACAAGATCATCTTTAGAAAAATATCACTGTGTATATTAGATGCTTAGGCCAAGTGTGAAATAGTTAGTATAGTCTATATAATGTGATTGGGCATAAAATATTGAAAAATATATAAAATAAGGCTAATGTCCTATCACACTTGAAATTTTTATATATATAAAAAAATTGAGAGGTCAAGGATCTTAATTATCCTTGAAGAGTTGGTATGAAATGAATGAAAGTCCATTTCCATAGTCCATCTCATAGTACCAATACATTCAGTTATTCTACTAATTAGAAATATTTCTGAATTTTATTCTACTAATGAGAATATTTCTGCTAATGAGAAATATTTCTTATTAGACTATTGCTCATAATGAGACCACATGCAGAGCAATAGAACCAAGGGCAAATCATGGCAGAAACACACTATGACAATGCCCTGATGTAGAAACTCACTTACATGGCATCAAGGTAGGTGACATAGAGAAAAGGAATGGCTGATGAAGAAGCAGGCTCACTGTGCTTGGGAACTGGTGAAATGATGAGGAGTGTTTTTCTTCACTCTCCTTCTTAGTTGGTTTTGATAGTTAATATAAATTTCACGTTCTTTCAATCATGGTCTGCAATATTAAGCTCTCCACACCCACACACTTTAATGACTCCCCTAGCCAACGTTAAGGTTTAACCAGCTTAAATATTTGTTAGTGAATTCCTTAGGTCTTAAACCTCAGCTTCTAAAGAAATGCAGTATTAGAATTCTGCAGCTTTTGGTTGAAAAATGAAAATGTTGTTGTTTTAGTAAAAACAAAGTGTCTTGAAGGCTTGAAATTCCACAACTAAGCCACAAACTATATTAAACATGAATGAACCATAAAGCTCTTCAAAACTCAAATTTAGAGTCATTAAAATCACTTTGAATTTGTACTACTTTTGTTGGTAATTAAAACGTTTGCAGAATCTCACAAGGGGGAACAGTTACAGAGTTACCGTTTCACTGTGAAGTTAGCACATTCCTTAAACAAAAGCTGCAAACACAGTAAATGTGGTAGAACCTGAGCAATCTGAGTGACAGATTGACTTGTTCTCCCATTTGTCTGGGCAAAGTACATTGAACAATTATGCATACTTTTGAGGGACTGGAAAACTACTCTCTGTTCCATCACTGGTGCACTTAAAATTCAGAAACATAATTTGGGGGTAAGAATTTCATTACTTTTTTTTTTTAATCAAAGCTGAAGGGGTCTAGGTTTGAACATTTTTAGTAACTTATTTGAATAATTTCAAGGATAGACTATGTCTATTGAAAATCAACAAACTGTGATGGTGTAATTGTAAATATAAAAATAATGAGAATAGTGGTCATTAAAAACCAGGAGACAACAGATGCTGGAGAGGATGTGGAGAAATAGGAACACTTTTACATTGTTGGTGGGAGTGCAAATTAGTGCAACCATTGTGGAAGACAGTGTGGCGATTCCTCAAGGACCTAGAAATAGAAATGCCATTTGACCCAGCAATCCCATTACTGGGTATATACCCAAAGAATTACAAATTGTTCTATTATAAAGACACATGCACACATATGTTCATTGTGGCAATGTTTATAATAGCAAAGACCTGGAACCAACCCAAATGTCCCTCAGCGATAGACTGAATAAAGAAAATATGGCACATAGATACCATGGAATACTACGCAACCAAAAAAAATGATGAGTTCGTATCCTTCATAGGGACATGGATGAATCTGGAAACGATCATTCTCAGCAAACTGATACAAGAACAGAAAACCAAACACCACATGTTCTCACTCATAGGCAGGTGTTAAACAATTGGAACACATGGACACAGGGAGTGGAGCATCACACACTGTGGTCAGTTGGGGGGGCTAGGTGAGGGACAGCCGGGGGTGGGGAGGGTGGGAAGGGATACCATGGGGAGAAATACCAGATATACGTGATGGGGGGATGAATGCAGCAAACCACCTTGCC